GAAGAGCGAGGGAACGGGCTCTGCACCGCGCCAAGCCGGCGATTAAATATTTACCTTAGCCGGTTGTGTTTGCCAGTGATGGATCGGTGTTTCCAGGGAGGAGCTCGCTTTTGTTCAAACACCGAGTAAAACCCTCACCGGGTGCCTGGCAGGAGATGGGGCCACCAACCACGCTGGTCCCTGGGGACACTGGCCTGACCACGGCTCCCGTGGCAGCAGCAGGAAAAAAAAGGTGCTCACAAAGCTCACATTTTCAGGGGAACAAACCAGGTTTAATCTCTGGAAAGTGATGGAAGAAACCAAAAGGACCCCGGGGGCTGCCCCCGGCCCCTGCGGAGATGCAGAGGGGACGCGGCATCTGCCGGGGCCCGAAGTGCAAAATACAAACGCAGCATTTCAGTGCGGATCACAGAGCAGAAAGGCGGCTTTCTGCCCCAGGAACGCGTGTGAGTGCGCCGAGGTGAGGCTTGTATTAAAAAGTGAGCTACAAAAGGCTTTAAAAAGTGAACTCATCCCCAGATAAATAAACCACTGACTGGTGCCCGTGCCGTGTCCCGGTGCCCGTGCCGTGTCCCGGTGCCTGGCTGCACTGAGGTCCCTCGTGCTGGGGGCTGTCACCAGCACCGCCTGTGGGGCTGCTGTTCTGCGAGGGGCCATCAGGGGAGACACCAAAATGCTTTTAGCTGTGCCTGACCCCATCGGGGACCTCTTCCCAGAGACCTGTGTGGTACGATGTCCCCAGGGCTGGGATGGGGCAGGAGCAAAGTGTCCCCAAGACCCCGTCTGAAGGGGACAGAGACCTTTCCCAACAGCTGTACGTGGGGACGCTGGGTGGGAGCAGGGGACAATCACTGGGAAAGGGCGAGCAGCATCCTTGTGCCCATCAGGCCCTGCCCAGCTCCCACATGGGGACACGTTTTGGGTCCCTTCGCATCCTGGCAGCCACCCCGGTCCCTGTGGTGCCGGTGCTCTCCACTGCCAGCTCTCCACTGTCCCCAGCACTCGCCGGGGCAGCGCCCAGTCCCACGTCCCCACAGCAGTGAGGGGACCCACCAGCCAGTGCCGCTACGTGCCCAGGGGCAGGAATGTGACGTTGCCCTCTGTGTCCAGGCACAGCCCATGGCTGCCCTCGGGCCCCGGCACTGGGCGCCCACTCCCACTGCTGTCCTTCGTCAGCGTTCCCTCCAGCACCCGCTGGTTGTCCACATCCCTGGGGCGGCTGACAGGTGAGTCCCGGTCCCCAGGGCTGGGTGACAGGCGCTCGGTGTCAGCCAACTCTGAGTCGTCTGTGGCTGGTGTCTTGGAGCCGCTGTTGTCCTCGTCCAAGGGGCTCTCGGCCCCCTCCAGCTCCGTGTCCGACTCACCCTCCTCCTCCTCCTCCAGCGTCATCTCGAACTGGAACTTGTCGGTGGATGCAGGGGACACTCCAGGTCCCTCAGGTGGTGGGGATGGGCTGCGTGGGATCATGCTCTGGTACCATTCCCGGTTGTCCTCCAGAGTGTCCAGGATCTCCTGGGCATCGGGGTGCACCAGGTCGGCCCACGTCTCCCACAGTGGGTGGGCGATGAAGTCGATGAAGCCCACCTGGAGGGAGGTAGAACTGAGCCCCCAATCTGACTCTGTGGCCCCCACCCTGTCCCCACACCGCTTCCCCACCTGGGACTTCTCCACGGAGGCAGTGTGTTTGTCACACATGGGGCTGATCTCCATCCCCTTCTCCCGCTCCCGGTCACCTTGGTGGAAGAACTCCACCATGATGCGGTCAGTCCATTGCCGGTACAGCTCCAGCGGCTTTGTGGGGTTGCTGAGGTCAGCACAGTGCACCATGCTCTGCAGGACCTGCGGACACAGCCACAGCAACACTTGCCCAAAGTCCTTTGTCCTCCAGGGCCACCGCCGCTGTGCCAGGAACACCCTTGGCCATGGCCAACTGGGGTTGGGAGAGGTGGTGGCACCAAACAGGACATCCCAGCAGCTCTGGCTGAAGCCAGGACCAATGCCTGCCACACCAGGAAGGTTTCCCCACCTGCATCCCCACACCCACCTGGATCCGGTCAGAGTAGTTGTCCAGCAGCAGCACGCCGAGGCTGGTCACCTTCTTGGTCTCCACCATGGTTTTCAAATCCGCCAGCAGATTCATGTGCTTGGACATGTCCGTGGCCAGCACCTGGGCAGGGCAAGCCAGGAACAGAGCTCAGCCTGACCCCAACTCAAAGCCCCCCCCCAGCTTGGACCCCCTGCCCTGGGGGGGTCTGGGCCCCACTGTACCATGTCGATGGCCATTTTGCGGAGTGACTGCCTCTGCTTCTTGCTCAGGTTTTGGAAGATGTCGCAGTTCTCCTCCTGGAGAAGCTTGAAGCCCACAGCCAGGTGGTGGTTCTCTAGCACTGAGGCGTCGTTGTACATCAGCGCCAGCTCCGAGTCTGCAAGATGGCACCGGTCACCCAGGGGTGGCTTCTGGACACTGGGGTACTCCACACCCCCCAGCTCCATCCCCACAGCCCGGCTCACTGGTGTTGATGAGGAACTGGTTGGAGACACCAGGGTGGTCAACATCATGGATGGCACTCGCGAAGATGGCAGCCATGATCTCCAGGTCTGTGAAGACAGCCTAGGAATAGTGGAAAAAGGCATTGCAGACGTGTTATGGCACCTCCAGACACACCTGGTGGCCTCAGTGGCCTTGGGTGACCAGGGCTCACCTCCAGCGCAGGCGTGGAGAGGAGAACATGGGTGGACTGAGCCACGTCGGCAGCGTGGATGCTGTTGTGGTAGGCCACGTCGGCATGGTAGTGGTCCTCCAGCGTCAGCATGTAGGTGATGAAGGTGTTGACGGGGATGCGGAAGGTCTTCATGAGGTCGCGCTCCTGCAGGGAGGCAGGAGGTGGTTCATCCCCATCCGGGCATGGGGACAGGGACATCCTGTTGGGATGCTCACCTGGAAGATGCTGTACATGATGACCGTCAGCGGGCGATTGCCTGAGTACTCAGCAACTTTAAACACATTGAGCCCCCACTTGTTGGTGTCCTCCAGCTCCTGGGGACCAGAGTGACAGAGATCCATGCGGGGCCAGTGATGGGGACCCGACAGCCGGCTGGGTCACCCACGCTGGGGCCCACCTTGGCCAGCAGCTCCTCCTGGTGTGTCCGCACCCCAAAGCGGGGGATGCCGGCGGCGGCAAGGCTGGAGCCATGCGTGAGTTTCCTGACGCCGCTGATCTGGGACATGGGGCGCTTCCTCCTCTCCTTCTCCTTGTCCTTGGCCAGCGCCGAGGGGATCTCCACCTCATGCTGCTTGTCTGGGAGAGCACGGGGGGGCCATGAGCATGGCAGGAGCCCAATCCCACCACCCCCCACAACATCCCCCTCTCCGATCATGATGATGATGTCAGCTGGCACGGATAACACCGCGACGCCATGGCAACAGTGGGGGGGAGCTCCATGGGGGATGCCCAGCGCTTTCCCTCACCCCCCTGCATGGTGCCACCCACCTGCCATCAGGACCCAGACCCTGCCCCGGGCACCCCCCCACGGGGCCACAGGGATGGCCCCATCAGCCCCAGTGCACCAGTACCACCAGTATGCACCAGTAGCACCAGTATACATCAGCGCTCCCAAACAGGACAAAGGCTATGACACCCCCAAGACAACATATCCCACGGGGACACCTGGGAAAGCCTCCCCCCATCTCCCCCCCTCTTTAATTTCTTTGCAAGAAGCAAGAGGGACCAACTGCTGGCACCGTCCCCGCGGGCACCCAGTGCCACGAGGTGCCACAGGATTCCTGCCCGGGTCCCCGCCGGTGCTAAGCCCACCCTGTTGCCAGCAGAGAGGTGACAGCAGGAGGTGTCCCCAGGGGGGGTCCTCACCCAGGAAAGTGCTGGAGAAATACTCGGAGACCTGGTTCCCCGAGCGGC